TGCATTTTAACAATAATTACAGTAATCAAATAATCAAAATCCCCAAAGTCACCCCAACTGACTTCATCAGAGTCAGCAGTGATACACAAACCAGGGGACTCAATTGGAAACTAAAGAGAAGTGCATTTACACTAGAGAATTTTGGCACTTCTTTACCCTAAATGTTGTGGGAATCTGGAAAAGCTGCCCAGCCCAGTCTCTCTTTCTCTAAATGCTGCTGCCAAAGGCTTTTTACTCTTTCAAGCTGTCCTCATCTGAGGTTTCAGGGCACAATCTTCTTTCTTCATTTGGACTACAGCAGCTCTAAGGTAGCCTGATGTCTTTCTATCAGATCCACTGTTGTCCAGCTAAGAAATGAACTAGTTTTCCAGCTCATTGCATTTCAAGAAGCTTCTGACATTTAATCTTCTACTTACTGTAGATGATCCTCTTAAATTCCTTAGACAAGTCAGGGAAAGGTCCATATCATGTACAGTAAGTCCATCATGTTTGAAAATCTGTCATGTCCTATTGTAGCTGCCGTGTCTCTGTCTTTTGGTTTACATCACAATTTTCACCAGCTTCTCTGTGTACTGGGTTTGTAAATTAAAAATGCAAAAAAAAATCCCAATAAAACAAAAATGATTTGTCTGTGAGATTGGAAATGTGATGAGGATCTCTTTTTAAATTCAAAGGAATGCAGAGATGAAATTCAAATGTATAGAGCATTACAGACATGGCATGGGCAGACTTCGATGCATCAGTTTTAAAGGATCCAGCTAGATGGCCAATTGGAAATAAAAGTTTTTTTTTGCTTAAGGACAGTGGCTCCACTGCTTTATATGTATGCTTTATATTACGACTGTAGTCCCTCCCCCCTTAAGGGAGCTCCGGCCCTTTCACTTTGGATTTGAATTTGTGCACCTGTCTCCTGTTCCCAGTCCACCTTAAAAGCCAGGCGCTGACGTTAATCCCGGCTCTGTATCTGATCTCCGTATCGTACGAGTCCTGGTCCTGGTCCCGTCTCCATTCCGCCGGTTCTAGTTTTTATCTTGTCTGTTTTTGGATGGACCTGCCGGTTTTGGACTTTTTCTTTCATTTTGGATTCCCCCTTTAGATTTCTACTGGATTGTTTGCCCCGGACTCACCCCCCCTGAACACCAGCGCACCAAGGACACGCCCCCCTGTTTTGATCCCCGTTTCCTGCATGGCTTTTCCCTCAGTGTTTCCTCACTATTCCGAATTGTGTCGTCCGCATAGGTTCTGGAAAGAACTGTCCTCTACACTTTATACCCGTGTTAGCAGATAAGGAATTTGTAGAGAAGCCATTGGTCATTAATTCACAGAGGAAAAATGTGGTGTGATGCTTTAGTTATAAAATCTTCTTCACAAGTGAAGCATTTGTACTTGCGTCAGATGGAGCCGACAATTAAATACTAATTATCTACAGTTCTAAATAAACATGAAAAGTCAAGCATCACTTAGAATTATTTTCCAAAATCCATGGAACTAGTTGAGGTGTTTGACGATGTAATTAAAGAACGCATCAGCAATAAACATAAACATGCCCAAAAACGTGCCCAGAGCTACAAACGCGAGGAAAGGCACAATTTCATCATATACTGTATGTAATAAAATACAAGGGGGTCAATCTCATATAACATACAGTATGTAACACAGTAATAGATTAAGGAACCAGCAGGTTATAGGTTGTGCATGCTATTTATACATTTTCATATGAATTACTATTTTAATTCATATATCCTGAAAGTGTGAGCAGAAGTGTTTGATATGGATTTATATTTAGCAAGGGGGCATTTTAGCCTAGTGCAGAAAAGGTTTTTAAAGTATGTAACTTTTTATCTCACCTGAATATGATTTGAAGTGTTTATCAAACCCTGACTTCCTGAGTGCTATAGTATCTGATCACCGAAAATCTTAAACATTTTATGGTGTCTTTTTTGCAGACAGTCCCAGCACACACATCTCTAAGTACCCATCTACAGTATCTACCTCATCTCTCTGCACCCTTCCAGCTGCCCCATATCTCTGGGGTAATTCTATGTCCCACCTTGTGTGTGGTAATGTCTGTGACAGGTTGTTTTTGTTAGAGTCTGTCCTGTTTTCATCTCATTTCAGAGCTGTGGTTGAGGTGATGGAAATGAAAGGAAGTGTTTATCTATGTTTGCAGATCTATATCTCTTTCCCTCTGTTTCTCTTTGTGTGTGTTTTTATCTATCTTTTGATTATTTCTTTATTCTATCTAATGACTTAGCAAAAGTCTCTCAGCTTTTTCAATACTTATGGGATATCATGAGCTTGTAAGAATTGAATAAAGGTTGCAAATCAGAGGAGGCCAGTAGGCCAGTTTAGCTTGTTTGGAAATTAAACAAGTCAGTCAGCTCTAAAGGTGTGAGGAATAATCCATTTCATTTTGTTAAAGGAATTGAATTTTTGTTCAGACATTGTTCCAAATACAGCTGCTAATTGTAGTAATAATCCATCCATCCAACTTTTAACTGTATTATCCAATAATAGCATCACTTGGGAGCTAGAGCCGATCCCGGCAAGCAACAAGCTCAAGGTGGGATACACTCTGGATGGCAGACAGACACATACTCACACAAGGGGTAATGTTCCCAGATGCCAATTAACCTATCAATAGATTTTTGTATTGTGGGAGGAAAATGGCGCAACCGGAGGAAATCCACATGAACACGGAGAGAACATAAAAACTCCATGCAAATAGCAATCCAGAATTGAACTCCAGGCTCCAGTGCTACGAGACAGCAATGTTAACCACAGAGCCACCCATTTGTGATGATAATGAATATGTAAAACAAATACATCTCCTCTAGTTTCATTCACACAGATATCTTTCAATTAACGTTTGAGAAGATAAGACAAGGTTTCCTTACATTGATGGCTTTTTCTTGCTGGTTCTTGGTACGCCTTGCTTCATAATGGCTGTGCTGTGAAACAAGGTAAACCACACAATATCATTCTCAAGAGCTATCAGGTCCTGGTATGGGGCCAAGCACAGCTGGAGCTGTCAACCAATTGGCGTTGTAGATCATTTACATGACAAGTGCGACTACTGTACGGATCTCTTCTTAAGGTGATAAAACAAGCACATTGGAAAGTGAGAATGTCTTCGTAAGGTTGCAGTTTACAGACACAAAAAAGTCAAATGAAGAAGAAAATAATAATGCAAAACTATTATTTACTGTTTTACTGTGTTTTATATAATATTAAAATCTATGTGCAAAACTAATGTTAGTTAAAGTCATGAGGATCAGGGCATATTGATCTGCAATAGAGAGAGCTGTTGATGTACTGTGGACTTTCATACTGGGTGAGATCTGCAGGGTTCTGCCAGAGCTTGGCTCAGTTCAGGTGCACCAGTGCAAAGATTTTGAATGGAAAATATCAACTGCTTTATTCTAAAGACATCTAATGCATTGACTGTCAGTGCCTTTGAGGATTTGTAATACGTCTATCAATTTTGCTCATAGTCTTCTCTGTTCAAGGGAAAACTGGTCCAGTTCCTTCAGTCTGTCAGTGTAGGACAGTACTTTAAACTACACAATATATCTGGTTGCTCTTCTTTGGGCAGAGTCCAGAACTGAAATATATTTTCTATAACTTAGAACACTGGGGAAAATAATGTCCAAAAAACACAGGACAATGGAAAACAATATTATTCACTGCAGCTGTCAAAGAGTCATCTTAATTGTCCTACACCCTGTAACTTTCACATGGAATATTTATCACCCTGCACATTTCCTCCGAAAGTAAAGGTTTTACAAAGAGTGGGAGCTGCTGCAGCACGATAGCTAGATTATCCAAGTTTTCTGTGGCTCATATACTCTAATCGTTTACCTGAATTCCTGCTGAAAGCTAATTTTTTTTAAAATAAGTAAGGGGATGAGGCTCATATTAGGTAATTTTTCATATTCTCTGACCTGATATCAGACAGTTGTGGCCAATGTTTTGATGCCCAGGAAATGCTTGCTTCTGCTGCCAGTCTGGCTCTCACAGTTCTCCTTAATTGTTTCTCTGGCATGTTACAGGCTTGTACCACATAGTTCAGTTTATTGCTCTACCTCCTGCACCCTCCTCTGTGGTGAACAAACGTGTACACAGGTATTCTAAATGTGGTCTTATTAGAACATTATACAATTTTAACATAAACTCCCTTAATTTATATTCTAAACTTTTAACCCTAAAATTCATAGATTGGGATTCTTTCCAGCATTCACAGAATCTGTTTTGGGGATCAATGGGCTTGAAGTGAGCGGAGAGACGTTGACTTCATCTCCCCTCAGCAGCGAAGGCACTGTGACATCACAGAAGAATCAACCCTGAGACCTGTTGTCTCTTTCATATTGCCTAAGACACACGCTCTAGCTGATTGGTGTCTCGATATAGTCTGTAATACTTTGCTTTGCCTACAATTTGCATCTGATGGCACATCCCTCCACACTTGGTTTCCATGAAGCCCTGAGAACACTTGGTTGGTTTCAATTTCCCCTGAGACTGAAATGTCAAAGACACCAGACAGACCAGAAGAGTGGAAAAACAGCATGAGGGCAGAAACCATGAATCAAAATATGTATGAATTGTATTAGTGAGCAGAGTTGAGGGTGATGGGATCTAAGAAAACCACACATCTAATCCTTCCTTCGATAGACGGTTGGGGCCCAGAGACTCATATCTGTATATTAAAAACCGGGTTCTACAGTATGTCATATGTCAACTACACACTCAGAACTAAGCAGCACAGTGCTGCCAGTCCCTCTGCTCACATTTCAGCAAGACCTACTGTGGTTTTGCCAGCATCACTCCAATAGTGCTGTACGTTCTATGTTGTATTGTATTGGGTCGTCCAGATGCGGTTTCATTGGAATAGCGAAGTTTTTTCTTGACTAATTTGCACAGAAAGGCAGATCTGACTGTAGGGAGGGATGTATAGACTCTGAGAAAGTGGAGTCCTACCTGACGGGCATCAACCTTACACCTGTAGCTTTCCCCAATAACTTTTTACAGTTTCTTGTAGTCAAGGTATGTAGGTGGAATCTTCGTTTAAAAAAGTGCATCAGTTAAAATTTATTTACAAGATAAAATGCTGCTAAAACAGTAATGCTTCACTTCAGCATGGATTGTCCGCTCCTTGGCCTGTGAAACTGTCCTCTCCAGCTCAGCCTTGCTTCATCACTCCACCCACTCCACTGGCTGATGGTCTGTGTCTGTGGTCCCAGAGACAGCAGTGTTGGGAAGGAAGTTAAGTAGGCTTTCCAGACCAAGAGGTCCCAGAACGATCCCTGATTCACAGTCAGGATCTGCCCACAGAATCCCAGAGCTGTCTCCAAGCCCACTGCTTTCCCCTGGCCCTCCAGAGGAAGAACAGACTGTCCTTGCACAGACAGGAGCTTGGTTATGAAGGGCACAGAAGGGTGAATCAAGAGCTTTTTGACAGCTCTGGGCTGAAGGGCATGTCTGCATGTGAGGAGTGGCCCCAGTGTTATTGTCTTTGTCTCCAGACCGCTCAGAGATCTGTACTGCCTTTCCACTGTCACAGATGCCTTGGTTGTCATGGGCAGCCCCACCTAGCTGGCTTGTGTCTGCCCACAGAGGGATGAGCCGGGGGAATGAGAGGGGGTCCCACTTCTCACATCCCCAGTCTTCTCCTTTGCTGACCCTCAGTCTCACTGAGGTCAGAGGAATGTCCTGAGCAGGGCTAGCTTGGCAGTCCACCTGGGTGGACAGTGTGGGCAGGAGGGGATGCTCAGCCTCCAGGTCAGTTCTGCTGTAAGACTGGGACTCCAAATCCTCCTGTGTGTCACAGGCAGACCCTAGGCTGTACCATCCCGGGTCAAAGTCCTGTGTGCAGTGGGGTAGCAGAGAGGGGTACCCAGGGCCGCAGCACATCCCTAGGGATGTCCTGCTGTCCCAATATGTTTCATTATCCACAGAGTTCGTGGGGAGGCTGTTGCTGTGGTAACCGTGGTCCTCAGTGGGGGAGGCGGAGGTGTAGTGTAGGGGCTGGGTGAGGTGGGGGCTCTGTGGTGGCAGTGAAAGGATGGAGAGGTGGTCCCATGGCTCGTCAGCCTCCATGCTCTGCGCACACCGCACCCTTGACATGTCCTCTTTCAGGGCTTCCTGTGAAAAATGCCATTCAATTAGAAAAAAGCAGGAAGTGCAACACAAACCAAATAAAATAACGATACTAAGTAAAAATAAAGAAAATTCAGCAAACAGAACATGAAAGCAACAGTAATATTTAAGAAGGTATTAAAGTACATGCACATTTGTAGAGGGGATCTATTTAATAGATATCAGATTAATACAAAATCTTTATATTCAATGTTTGCAATCCTGAGGGCCTCTGGAGCAAAGAAAAAATAAAAAAAGTCCACACTGGTGACCTGGGGTATGTGGGCGATTTTAGGGGGAATTCCAGCTTCCCAGTCTGGTCTCCACTCTCTCCCAGACCACTCTGTTGGGCTGGCCAGCCAGGATGTCCCCAGCTGCCAATGGCCCCATGTTACAATGTCTCATGGGGCCTAACTGGTTGATCCTGTGAGCAGCGTATGCTTGTCTCAAAGATTAAGCCATGCATGTCTAAGTCCACATAGCCAGTACAGTGAAACTGTAAATGGCTCATTTAATCGGTTATGGTTATTTTGGTCGCTCCACTCACCCTGGGTCTATGACCTAGTTATATATCTCTGGTATGCAGGCTGCTTATCAAATGCCTCAGCTGTCCAAAAACATTTCAACAGACATACTCCTCAGCAGACAAACAGACTGCACATTCATCCAAGACGTCATATGCAACAAGATTTCATCAGAAAAATGCTTTGATCAGTCTGGTCCACTGTGACCGTTACACTATCAATTTTGGGTGTGTTATGGAAAATCTTCATCTCCAAGTGCTCAGCAGCATATAGAAATATGGTTCAATTTAAGCAGATTTATGCTGTCTTTGGGATGACCATACCAGTGTCCTGGGCAGGTGTGTCTTCTTGGATCGGGAATGTATGAGCAGACCTCCTGCCAACAGCAGAAAGAGCTGCAGCAAAGACAAGATGACTGTCAGGGTCACCCACAGCGGCACTGCAGAGAGAGCACACCTTCATCATACACTGTCACCTGTCCCTGCGGCCCTCCATTCCCATTCCCAGTCCCAGTCCCATTCTTATTTCCATTTCCAGTCCCAATTTCATTCCAATTCCAAGTCCCAGTTGTAAATATGTGAGTTTTTCAATCACATGTTTGTACTAGTGTTTAGTTCTAGCTCCTTGGGGCTCACCCTGGAGATCTGAGCAACCCAGAACAGAAGTTTGCACCTTGTTCTCTCTTGTGCATTGATGTAATTTGGACTGTGACATTGTCTTCCTGAAGTGCATGGGTGCGAGACTAAACCACCATGATGGAAGAGTGTAGGAGGAGTTTCTACATAGTGATGTACAGTAAATAGCAGCAATTAAGTAATAACCCGTCCAGTCAAAATAAGGTCCATGCCAATTGATGCCCACGCCATGGCACTGACATCATCAAGACTTTAAGTCTTTTCATTGGAAGCAGGGTCTCTGGAATTCACTGTGTGTCCTCCTTCTGCTGGGGCTGACCTGGTGAAATCGGGGTTCCTCAGAGGAGCTCATGGATGGCGGAGTACAGTATTTCAGTTGGCTTCCATGTGCTTTTTCCTTGCTGATTTTAGGTCAAGTGCACAGGCTTTGACGTCCAATTTGAGGTTGAAACCAGTAGTGGATTTAAATAATTCCCATTATGAGTTCAGCGAGTACTCTTATTATTGATGAATAAGAGCTGTCTGGGTTTACTTTCTAAATGACAGATGCACTAAGCTGTTACATCACAGCTAAAGCTGTTGATCATAACCTGACTCCTGATTGACTCACATCCTTATTTGGCAGATATGTGCCTCTAACCTGGCTGCTTTTGTACAGAGGACACTTTGATCTGATATTGTTATACTGCAGAATATCTGTGTCAGACTGTCACGCAGGGTGCTGTGTACTGTGTTGTGTGCTGTGCTGTGTGCTATGTGGTGTTTTGTGTCTCATTTGTTGTGTACTGTGTGCTGGCCTGTGCTGTGTGTTGTGTGTTGTATGTTGTGTGTTAGCCTGTGCTGTGTGTTGTGTGCTATATGTTGTGTGTTCGCCTGTGCTGTGTGTTGTGTGCTATATGTTGTGTGTTCGCCTGTGCTGTGTGTTGTGTGTTGTCTGCTGTGTGCGGAGCTGTGATGTGTGTTGTTTGCTGTGTGTTGTTTGTTGTGTACTGAGCTGTGCTGTGTGTTGTTTTCTGTGTGCTGTGTGTTGTGTGTTGTGTGCTTTGTGTTGTTTGCTGTGTGTTGTTTGCTGTGTACTGTGTGTTTTGTGCTGTGTGCTGAGCTGTGCTGATCTGTACTGTGTTGTGCTGTGTGTTTTTTGCTGTTTGATGAGCTGTTCTGAGTGTTGTTTGCTGTGTGATGTGTGCTGTGCTGTGCGCTGTGTTGTTTGCTGTGTGCCGTGAGCCGTTGCTGTGCTGTGATGTGTTGCTTGCTGTGTAGTGTGTGTTGTGTGTTGTGTGTTGTTTGCTGTGTACTGTGTGTTGTGTGCTGTGTGCTGAGCTGTGCTGAGCTCTATTGTGCTGAGCTGTGCTGTGCTGTGTGTTGTTTGCTGTGTGGTGGGCTGTATTGAACATTGCTCACCTGGGACGTGTTCAGGAACAGAGAAGCAGCGTGGAGGGGACAAGGGGCTGTGAGAGTAGATGGAGGACAGGTTGGCCACAGCGCAGTATCTGTGTCCTGCAACCAACCCAGTGAACACGTGGTTTGGATTTTTTCCATGACTTATCAGTGTCTCCACCTGTGGCAACACAACAACAATCACAATTCAGCCTGCAGTGTTAGATGTTTGACTATTAATCAGTAATTATAGTTCATTCATTAATATATTCAGTGATTCACTGATGTCCTCAGGTCCTCCCTTCCCTAGTGGTCTTAAAATGGCTATGGTATGGAGTGCAGGATGGAGCTCCTGACAGAGATAGTGTGGGTTCAATTCCCAGATGGGGCTCTGTTCAGTGTATCCTTGAACCCGTGCACAGTAAACAGATCTCCATTTTACCACTGTAAATGTTCTTAACTGATTTATCTGGTGAAATACAGAATAGCTTTTGGCTTTTGGCTGATTTTTTCTAGTGATGATTTCTGTATCACCTGCTGAGACATGAGCCATCATCTGCAGCTCTACACACTCCTTCAACCTTCACTGCTGCACGTAGTGGATCGTGAGCTCAAACAGAGCACCCTCGCTATAGATATCAGATATAGCTCCCATTCCTACTGGGTTCATCCATAATCACAAGTGTGTGCTCATTGTACCCATGCCTGGGCAGGGTATCTCAGAAGAGTTACAGGGTATAACAAGAGCCCCGTTTATAATTACTTATACTGTGAAGCCAGACTAGGACATTGCTGACTGGTTAGGCATAATGGCACATTAGGAGCCACAGCAAGTGTGAGAGGCGTGGTGTTACCTGTGAGTGTGATGGCAGGTCCTCTCTGTACACAGTGACGCTGATATGCAGGCGGGGTGTGACCTTAGATACAAGCTTGCACTGTGATCGGCGGCTCCTGTAGGGTGAGCAGGGCAGGTGCACCTTCACTGTCACTGACTGCCCCCGCACAGACAGAGAGAGCCTGGGGGAGCTGAACGATGCTGGGGGTGCAGGAGCAGGCAAAGCAGAGACAGGACAAAACATATGTGAGAGATAAAGGGATGTGGGTATAAAGATATAAAGAATAGGGGGTTATAAAATAGGGAAAGGTGAATAATGAATACAAGGGATAAATAATAGAGGGATAGAGGAATAAAGAAGGTAGGAATAGGTGGAAAAAGAATACTAAAATAGAGGATAAAGGTTACAGGACTAGAGAAGGATATAGGACACAGAGACAGGTGATAAAAATACAATACTGGCGGATAAGAGATACAGAGTAATGGGTTATAGAAGGATTCACAAGTGTGTAAAAATGTTGTACTGAAATTTGATTAACAGTTTTACTGTAATCAAATACTGTATATCATAAAGCGAAGCCTGTACAATTCAATATGTTTGCCAGATGCAATGTCTAGTTCTACACCTTTCTTTAAACAAGCAGCAAACATTTCAAACTGCTTAAAATCAGGGAATATTTTAGATGTATCAAGTAAAAATAAATGTTTCATTAAATGTTTTCAATGTCAAAGCTGTAATCAGCAGTAATATATTAATGATGTTAAACAAAGATGCCTAACAGCAGTTCTCTGATTTTCATTTCAATTTAGCAAGATCTTAATTACCTAATTGTGCCAATTTGTTTGCCTTACCGGACCAGTTTAATGCTGCAGTCCTCGGACTGAGAGTTGTGACCCTCAGGCACCAGAGATAGTCAGAACTGGTCTAGGGCTGTGGGAGTATGGGAACAAGCTACCCAGCTACAGTATGTTGTTCATGCCAAGACTCTGAGATCCTTGGATCAACTAGCTACTAGCTACCAAGCCGACTAGATGGTGTCACGGATGTCGGAGGTGACGAACTGTGGAGAGGCAGGAGAGCGAAAAAGACCCTATGACGGGGGTTAGCCCGGGCTCAGCTGTTCAGGAAATGCCGTATAGAAACCTACACCCTCAGGTAGCGGACGTGGGGCGACCTGGTGCTAGGCGGGTCTCAGGACATCCGAACGTCAATGCTGAGCAAAGGCAGAATGAAAGACCCGGAAATATATAGCCCCAGAGAGAGAGAAACATTGGAAGGAAAGCAGAGAACCGGAAATGAGAGACAGGACAGAGAAGGAGTGCCCTCTGGCTACTGAAGTCGTGACAGATGGTAGTTCACATTCTTTGTTAGGTGTGCCTCTCGTTTGCAATTGTCCTTATGTTCTTTTCTCAGAAAGACCAGAACACATGCAGTGCCACAGGCTTTGAATAAGCCTCTCAAACCCATGTCCTTTAGGTTAGCATTCCAGCTAAATATTCTTCATTAGCCTAACTCCTGTGCTTTCATTATGTGCTCTTTCATTAAGTTCTGACTCCAGGAGAGTTAGCTGTATCTCTTTCACGGTTCAAATGTTGAGCAAATGTTAGCTTCACTTACATAATAAAGAGCTCAATTACAACTAGAAATGGAACACAGGCAAAGATGGAGTGCCCTTTTTTGAGAGTATTTCTAAACAGATTGATTTTCAGATAAAGATAAGCATTTTTTTACACCAAGGTTTGTTGTAACTCAGCCATCCTATAAAATATGATACCCTGGATTCCTTCAGGAAGTAGATGGATTAGCAATTAGTAAATAAGATAGACCAAATGACCTCCTTTCATATGGAGTACTCCTTACAGTATGCCTTTGTGGCCACACCTATTCAATATCCATCAGCTATGCTTGATCACCTGTAAGACAGGTGGGAAAGATTTAATGCAACTGATTAAGGGCTTCACATTTTCATCACTGACATCTTTGCCACCTAACCTGATAACTTATCTTATTTAACTGGTTCACTTTAAAAATGGGTATGCTTAATTTGTAATTTAACATACTGGAACATAATTGGAAGCGGGTCAATATTTTTTCAAACCTCTGTATATCTATATTTTTGTTGGTCATTTTTATTACCTCACCATATTGTCTGAATTAGGGCAATAAGAAGTCCAAATAAGTCCCTGATTCTATTTTCTTGAGTTGTTTCCTTATTCTCAGTGTAACCTGTCTTTGCTAACAGACTACCCAAACAAGGCTTTCAGACAAACTGCCCTGCGACTCTGTTCTCAAAGGTGTGAGTGTGTTTGTGGGTCACTGCAGGCAGGGATCCCCAACGGGGATAGGATTTCGGGCAACACCCAGTCACTCACTGTCTCTTAAGGGAAAAAACTCCCGGTGGGACCCCGTCCAATGGCTGCCCCCCCCAGCCCAGACTGCTCGAAGCCGGGTGAAGTGGAGCTGATAAATGTCAGCAAAGGATGAAGAGAGATTACAGTAAGAGAAGGAGATGTTCACACAGCCAGCCACGTTCTTCCAAGGTTCCTTTCTGGGGAAGATAACACCAAACATCAGGGTCAAATAGGAAATAACCCCACCACCACCTCCCAGGAATGTCTGCAGTAAGTGGAACCTCCACACCCACCTACACACCAACCCATACAGTACCTGTTAGTAACTCCAATGTGTACCGAGATCAAGAGCCATACAGATGATACAGATAACGTTAAAGGGCTTTCAGTTCAAGTTCAATATTGTATTGCCATAACAACTAGTTGCATGGAATTTGGTTTGTTGAGCTCATACAACTTAAAGGCATACAATACAAATATACAACATAAAACCAGTAATAAACAGCATTATTACGTACATCTTCACATACCATCCTAAACACACAACCACTAATTAGATGAATTAGTCCAATAGGTACTGTTACGGAACCTAGTAGTCCTCATCTTGACTCCTAGACACAAGGCTCTTACCAGCGAGGAGGGAAGTACCCAGAGGTTGGGCAGAGTGGTAAGGGCTGTGATGATCTGAGCTTTATGTTTCAGACTACAGATGTAGAGTTACTCCAAAGAGGGAAGGTGGCATCCTACAATTTTGGAGGCAATAAACACAACTCTTTGTGGCTGCTTCTTGTCCCAGGCAGAAATGTTACCATACCACACAGTAATGGAAAAGGTCAAAACACTCTCAATATCACATCTGCAATAGAGGGAATTGCTTCATGTGACATTCCAAACTTCTTTAGCTGTCTGAGAAAGAACAGCCTCTGCTGAGCTTTCCTGACCATCAAGGATGTTTTGACCTCCCATTTTACAGAGTTAGAGATGGTCGTCCCCTGGATCTTAAAATTCTCCTCCACTTCTACAATCTGAACAATGATGTATAACCAGTATAGTAGTGAGAGTGCTCTTCTACCTTGTCTAAAATCTACCACAAATTATTTTGTTTTATTGACCTTTAAGTGTCACGGCCTCCACATCTAGAGGGTGCTCCTGGTCTGCCCTGTTCCTAGTTTCCCTGTGCTTTACTTGTTCTTCCGGTGTGTCTTGTTGTCTGGGGCTTTTTATTTCCGGGTCTCACTATCCTCCTCATTCGGAATTGGGATCGGTTGTCGTGAGGCTCGCCTCACCAGGTCGCCCCACATCTGCTACCTGAGGCCTTATGTCTCGTTCTGACTCCAGCCGATACCTTGAGCCGGGAGCGAACCCCCATGTCTGTTCCGTTCCTGCTGCTACGCATAGGGTCCTTCCGTCTCACCGGTCTCTCTCCATGACTAGCCCCCGGCTTCCATGACAGAATGCCAAGCCAGCACTGGAATGCGCAAGCGGTCTCCTGGCCATCCTGGCTTCTGTTCCCTTTCTCCCTTTTCTTCTTTCCTGGCTTTTGTTTTTCTGGCCACCCTGGCTTCCGTTCCTGGTCTCTCTTGTCCTTTTTCCTGGCTTCTGGTTTCCTGGCCTACCCAGCTTCTGGTTCCCTGGCCTACCCGGCTTCTGGTTCCTGGTCTCCCTGGTATTGTTCTTGTTGTTGTGTGCTTTTTTATATTTGACGTGTTTTGTCCGCCCGGGCTCCCATGCCCATTTTCTCCCAGTCCCAGGCTCCCACCCACTGTCTCCCTGTCCCTGTCCTACCCTGTGCTCAGAGTTGGAGACTTATAGATGTATCCTACAACTTCATCACCTGCTTCCTATCTGAAAGCAAATCCAGTAGCCAATAACATAGAGTCTGATTGATACCCATCTCTGTTAACTTATCAAAATTCTTGAAAGGGATGATTGTGTTTAAAGCAGTACTGTAGTCATTAAAGAGGATCCAGGCTTACAAGAAGGGTGCTTCTAGATATTGAAAGATATCATGGAGCCCCGGGGAGACTGCATCATCCACTGACCTGTTTGTTCTGAGGGCAAACTGACATTGGTCCAAGTGCATGTTAGACAACAAATTGGCTATGAGTTGCTGAAAAACTTTCATAATAACAGACATCAAGGCTAGTGGTCTGTTGTCATTGAGGCAGCTTACTGTGGATGTCCAAGGTAGTGGTATTATAGTAGCCAACCTAATTTTGAATTGCCCCTCTGGGGATGAATAAAGTATCTTAAATTGAATCAAATCAAATTCAGTTTAATCAAACTGAATTGAAGCAGTGCGTAAGTTTTGCCTGTTTAAGGGATAGATTGAAAATATCTGTAAACTCGCACAAGATTTCAGTGTAGCTGTTGAAATAAGGTCAGGTCCAGATGCTTTCCTTTTGTTTTATTGGCAGAAAAATCACCTTATGTCATGCCTCTGAGTGATAAAGGGTGACTGGAGAGGCTCCACTGGCTGTCTAGGTACAATCCGCTGCATATTGTTTTGTGCATAGAACCTGCAGTTGAATTCATTCAGCTTGTCTATGAGAAAGGAATCATCATCAATCATTTCTCCTTGTAGTCAATGATTATTTTCTATATACAGTTTTACTGCATGTAAGAATTTGTAATTATTGGTTTTGAAGTTAGCATCTTCTCCTTCTTTGAAAAGCCCTGTTTTTCTTTTCCCACAATGGTTTTAATTTCCTTGCTGATCCAGGGCTTATAGACCACAAGGAGATAGAATTGATATGAAGTAATCAAAACAAGACAGTTATCACTTCAACACTCATTCAGCACTATGATTAAATCTTTCTCAGGGTGCTCTGTGAAACCACAACCACGCAGTACTCTCTATCTCTCACACAGTTGAAACCTCCTGTAATCTGATGTTTGGTATTCTATAAGAGCAAATTTTGTAAGTCATTGCCACTTGGGTGATTATGGCATTTGGGAATGACTTAATTCTGTCTCTTCAGCCTCCTGGAGTGATTAACTTGCTTTGATCCTGCAAAGGCTTTAATTGTACCTGTTATTATATTACAGTTATTTTACACGTTGTTTCTATATTTGACTCTTACTTGTGTGTAAATTATTATGAGTGACTTGTTTGGTGATTTATTGTTGCTTTCTGACTCAAGCCCAGGGATGTCAAATTGAGGTCCCGGAGTGCTTCTTGCCTTCTGGTTTGTGTTTCAGCCTGAACAGTTAGTTAAATAAGTATGCTTATTATTTCTTTAGTGAGATATGTGAGGGATTTGTCTAAAGATCACTTACAGGTTTTTACGCAACACAAACACTTCATTTAATCTACAGAAACATAAAAATTCTACAGCTAATTAAATAATTATTCAATTAATAATATTCAGCACTGAGTTGTAGCCAGGACTCTCTCTCCAGTCTACCTTGCAGCTGGACCCAAGAAGACCACTGTGCACAGACTGTTTTAAACATGTGATATAAATATGCAAGACTGATAAACACTTTACAGTTGATGTATTACCTCTTCTCCTTGTAACCCCTGAATAAACAATAAGCTTTTTGTATCACAGCAGATAGTTTCTATTATGTTTGTGGAGTATATGGCAAAGCATTGCATAAAACTGTCAGCCAAACACTCCTCTCGCCACTAATAATAATTTAACCATGTAACGAGTGGTGCTGAAACAGGCAGATCTAGGATCCTAGTATGTGTTCAGTAGTCTTTGAAGTAGTGAGTCACATCAAACAAGAAAGGAGAAAGGAACAAGTAATAGGTTTATTCCATGCTGAAAAGAGAAGAAAGAAAACTTCAACTTTTCGGCTGTGGGGCCTTCTTTAGGTGTGAGGGGCTCCTGAAGGAGGGCACCTTTGATTTTGATTGATTTTTTTGAGTTTGATTGATTCCTAAAAGTCATCGAGTTCTCTCGTAATTTGATGTTCCCATTTCTAATTGGTACAGCACATTTAAACCCTCACATGACTACAATGGGTTTGACAGAATGGAAACCAGAAACCTAAGGCTGAGCCACATTACAAGCCTCCGGTACTCTAAATGACTACTTGCTGATTGAATTATTGATGGATTCGTTTTGTTGCACCTCTTTATAGAAGTGCATGATTTAAGCAAGTGGGCAACTGTGTGTATTTCTGTGTTAGTAGGACAGGGAACAGAGAAAAAAAAGAGACAAAATAAATAGGTTTAAGAACTACGAACATTTATTTACTTCTGAAACAATGTGAAATAATAGGTTTATGTACAGACAGCATTTTTTACTGAGCTTGAGCTGATGACCCAGATTGGACAATGTCCTCTCTCCATCTTACACCCCTGCGCCCACTTTGTTCAGCTTGTGATGGTTGTTCATTTTTACTCTTAAAGAATTCACCTCTTTGCTTTGACTTTGATTGTCATTGTGAAAATCTTTCCACCTACGCAAATTTTTGCACTTTCAAAGTTCTATAATGCAGTTTACCAATATTTGAGACCTAAGTTGTAAGTTATGGAAACATCTGCTGTTATGATATAAATAAATGAATTGCTTGCTGATTGCTTGCCTTTATTTTTGCATTACAGGTTGTCCTAGTTCTTGTGTTCACTTACAATTGATTCCTCATATAAATGATTGCTGGTATTTATTCTAAATGTACGTACTGTAGTGCTTAGCAGCATTTAATTGCCACAGGTGGACTGCTAATGGATGTTCAGCCTGATTTTGCTCACCCCTCTACCAGTACAGAGAGGTGTTAATAATCCAAAAGCTACTTGAATTATTCTGTAAGTGAGAAACAAGGGCTGTATAAGCTTACATCAAATCCATATATAAACTATTTTGTGTTTAGAAAGTGTTTTCTGCTGTTAGTATTATTTCACTCAGGTCTCACTATAAGGTCAATGTGAATTTGCTTCCATTCCTCGTGACTTGCTCAGCCTGCACTCACCCCTGCCTGCGTGTGTGAATCTCTACGGTGTACAGCACATCAGGCGGCAGCTCAGGGCACCTCCAGCTCAGAACGGTGTGGAAATCCTTAGACGTCAGGGTCTCCTGACAGGGAGAAGTCCAGACACCTGCCAGGACACACCGAGGAACAGATCGTCCATCATTCAACTGTCCATCAGTTTGAAGAATCATCACACACTTTTATGAATAACTAACTTTAGTGTTATTATGCACATACTCTGCTTGGGTAATTCCAGTGTAATTCTAGCAGTTTGATTATTATATTTATTGTATGGAGTTTGTCTTCATGGTGAGGAACACCTCTGGGAGCCCTGCTTTCACACCCAACACACGGTGCAGGTGTGAAGTACACATTCCCTGTTTCAGGCATTTGGCCTGCATGATTAGATGGCTACTCCTCAGCCAGGCAGATATGAGCCCGTACCTGTCTTTACACCCCCAAAAGCACAGGGAGTGATGGGTAGTCGACCTACATCATCTCTCCACTACATCTTTTTCTCTGGTGAAAATGAATGCTTTTTCTCGATGGTTTGTGAGAATGATGCAAAGGGGCTCTGGGTTTTTGTTTTGTCATTTTACTTTCATATTTGAGCAGATCAAGCCTGTGTTGTGGTCTAAAGTAAACGATGAGTACTGTGCGCATTCCACAGATCCGCAAGCGGCAGGGCTCCATTGTTCTCTCCCTACAATCTGAAAAACAATCACTGTCCTACAATTCCAGAACAGAACATCAGACAGGCACGGCTCTGGCAAACATGAATTTTCTCCAAAAAATGGACCGCATTTCCAAACAATGCTTGAAATTTTCTGAACTTGTTTTAAGGGACATATGAAAAAGAAAGAGATGGAGGATGTTTGTTTCTGTTCGTGATGTGGAGCTACCCACCAGCTCGCCGCAGACTGGACTGAGCTGTCTGTGGTTTCCAACTGCCAGCAACAGCACGAACCTTTTAACTTTACACTTTGAGGGGAGGACTATTGTGCACTTTCCTTAATATCAGGTTTTTATTTGGAATGAAAAAAGAGAACTGAAAAGAATGCGAATGGACAGAAAAGCAAAGCACTGACATCTATCCTGACTGGAAACATGGGAGAGTAAGTGTAAAAGACTCCAGGTGTTTAGTGTCAGAGCACAAATCTTTTAAAAAATGATCTTCCACCTAAACCTCTAGATGTTTTTGTGTACATAACCTTTTATTCCAGGTGATCTGCTAGTTGCCCAACTGACAGAGCCTCAGTTTGTGCTTCTTAACTGACTAACTGTCCTAACCAGACCATCTGTTTCCAGAAAACAAGTTTGGTATTATGACATACAATGATTGACCAGAATGAAGGTTTCATTAGGACTGCAGTGGTTCTGTGGTTCCAGGGCTGAAAACTGTCATCTGAATTCATTGTGGCTGCAGCCCTTTGCTGACATGATGAACCCACAGATCTCCAAGATTCAACTGGTCTTCTGTCCTCTCTTCAACTCTAACTTTATCCTAATTATAATTAAACCTGTGCACAGAGTACTAAAAACACCATTATTTGCTTTAATCTGACATTGACAAGAACAAATTGCCTTTTCAATCTGACAGGAGTGTGAGGAGTTTCACCACCACCAAGTCATAACTGTCAAATAATTAGCTACATTTCCTGATTTAATCTTAAAATGTACACTTCATTGCACACAAAACTTAACCACAGTTGTTGGTCTTTAAAAAAAGAAGGTTTTACTGGAAGCTCACATTCTTTGAAAACGTACTGTGGTGGTCATTAGTTTGTAAAGATTTCAAACTGATAAGTGCAATCCTTTTGAGTTTTTTTAAAGTTAAAGAGGTGAACATAAGCAAGCTAGCAGAAGCACTTAACGTTAAAAGCTGTATGTTTTATTACAGTATTTTGTGATTAAAGAAAATATAAACATCAAAAGTAAACAAGGTTGAAGATAATATGAAACTCAGTGAAATAAGTTCCAGACAAAATTTCAGGTCAGGTCTCACATATAGTGACAGACCTCATGACAGGTTTAGAGTTTAATAAAAAATAATACTGTTTGAGGATTACCAGTTTAAATAGGTTTTCTTAATTTGCTCTATCTTGACATAAATCACATCCTTCCACAATTTACATGAGACCAATATAATGTCACCAACAGCTTTATTGGATCATGACTCACAGCCATTAGCACAACACCACACAGGACACATCCCAGCACAATTCCCTGCGGTCTCCCCAGCAGCTGCACTGAACAGAACTTTACCAGCTGGAGAAGAGACACCTCTGAGGAAAACTGGGCTGCACAGATAAGCGGTGTTGGTGGACCAGTAGGCACTGCTATTTCCTCTGTATTAAACTTTCGAGGCCAACTCCAGAACATGGTGATAGGGAACACGGTGTATACAAGGTACTGTCCTTCAGATGAGACACTTCACTGAAGTCCTGACTACCTACTAATGGCACTGCTTGGATGAGTAGGGATATTAATCCCAGTGCTGTACTGCAGCTAAATTTCACTTGGTTTCCATTACGTTTTCCGTTAATTCAACTAGCAAAGGAATTTCTCACTTCTTTCCCAGATAGGTAACCTGTGTGGTGAGACTGCAAGTCCAGGGCAACAGTGTGTCTCAAGTCTACTGTCTTACTCTCACATTTCAGCTCTCCTCAGATACGAACAAGTCCATCACAATATTGACACCATTATCCCACAATTATAAATCCAGTCACGACAAAATATCTGGGTGGTTAAAAAAGGATTTTCTTTCCAAACTATTCCATAAGAACACAATAACAATCCCAGATGGGGGGGGGGGGTCTATTTAGCCTGTTTGGTCATTAATGGTTCAGTGATCCAAGGATTGCATCAAACTGTTGCTTGAGGGAAGCCAAAGTATAAGCTACTGTATGACAACATGTCTCATTAGCTTATTCTATACTTTGTTAATCCCTCTGTGTGAATCTAAATGACCTGATGATTACATCCAGTTGTATTTTTATAGAAACCAGGGTACTGACTTGAACAACATGACTGGGTAGCGTGTTCCAGACTCGCTAAAGCAGCAGTTCTCAAACTGTGGATGTCCGTAGGGGTTCCGTGAGCTCTCACATAGGCTAAAAGAAAAATACAAATTTGCTATCAAGAAAAAAATGTGAGTTACGATGGTTTTGCATTGTTCCAAGAAGTCAGAACAATTAAGCATATCTCCTGAAACGTTACCTTCAAATTCACTCTGAATAAATCTGCTGCTAGAGCCAGAAGGTATCTCAAAGGTGTTGGATGAAATTTCCTCTACCATCTGCTCTTCTGTCTTGTTTGGAGATGTTTGCCATTTCGCTAGCCGGCAAATCTCAAAAACTCTCCCAATGAGAGAAAATAGCAAGTTACTGGGTAGGAAGATCGCTTAGAAATTACTGCAACCACGAGAGATTAAAAAGAAAAAGAAAAAAATATGAAAAACAATAAAAAACTTTGAGACTTCACTTCACAAGAATATGAGAAGTTCATTGACCTGACTTCAGACTCTTCCTTACAAACAGCTTTTAATGAAGTGCAGCACCAAAAACGAATATCCAGTATTATCAGAAAAAGCTCTTTCTGTTCTTCTCCCATTTGTGACCACACCTGTGTGAAACCAGATTTTCTTCATATGTGTCCACAAAAACAAAGTATCGCAACAGAATTGGATACAGAGTCGAACATGAGACTGCAACTCACATCCATAACTCCAAATATAAAAAAAAATTGTAGAAGAGGAAAACTCACTCATCACACTGAGATTGTCCTGTTTCTACTGGTTTGAAGTAAATGTTGATTATTATTATCAGTACTCTTTTTAAAAAACCTAATGGATTGTTGTCTCACTGTGTTTTACTTAGTCATTTTGTTACCAACTTTTCCTTTTTGCGCCCAGTTAGAGAACAGAAAGTGTCGTCTGGTTCTATAAATTTTTTTTTTCCTTTTTCCTTTGTTAACAATGTAAAAAAAAAAAGTTTTAAAACCAAAAGGAAACCCTTCTTGTTTTCTTCTAACTTGGTCTAAATGGCGGTTAGAACTTTAATTATTTTAAAGTTCTATTTTAAAGAGATTATTTTATTCTCAATGAGTATTTCAGTAATTAAGCTGTATTGAACCGTAGGGGTACTAATCGTAGACAAGTTATCATGTGATTAATCCATCCGTTTTCACTTCCACTTTTCTTGGTGAGGGTCACGGTGAAGCCAGAGCCTACCGGGCAAACAACGAGCGCAAGGCAGGGTACACACTGGACAGGGCACCAGTTCATCGCAGGGCAAGTGCAAGCCAATCACACATGGGGACAATTTGGAGGCCACAGTAAGGGCTGAGGGGGAAATTTGGCCCAGACACTGAGATAACTCCCCACTCTTTGCAAAAAATGCCTGGGGATTTTTTTATGACCACTGAGTCAGGACCTCGGTTTAACGTCTCATCCAAAAGACGGCGCCCATTACAGTATAGTGTCCCCACCAATATACTGGGGCATTAGAACCCACACAGACCGCAGGGAGGGCACCCCCCACTGGTCCCACTAACACCTCTTCCAGCAGCAACCATAGCTTCCCAGGAGGTCTCCCATCCAGGTACTGACCAGGCTCAGCCCTGCTTAGCTTCAGTGGGCTGTCAGTTGTGAGTTACAGGGTAAAATGGCTGCTAGCCTCATGTGATTAATAAATGACTGAAATAAACTCAATGGACTCATACAATGCTTACAATTAAAACAAAATCGATGGTTTCTTCCTTAATAATTGGCTAAATTGCCTCTGGATAGCAGTCCTGGAATGCTTTTTGCAGAACAGATAGCTAATCCTGAAAAGTAAGAAAAGAGGTTGCTGGGGATCCGCGACATTAGCTTCGACAGAAAAGGGTTCCATCATCGAAAACATTTGAAAACCGCTGCGCTGAAATAAAGAAGTAAAGAAGAGCCTCCTGTTCTCAGTTTTAAATGCACTTTCATGTGCTGCAGATTCCACTTGTGTCCCCTGGATTGTTTCACTCTCCTTCAGTAGAAGACCTCTCGGTTGAGAAATCACTTGCCTTTGAGGATTTTCAGTTCTTGAAATAGGTCCCCTCATTTTCTTCTTTGTATAAGCTTAAAAGGCTCAGTTCTTTTCAGCCCGATAAGGTAGGACATCCTATAAGCCTGTGAATGTATCTGGTTGTTTTTCTCTAGACTGATTCCAGAGCAGCAATATCTTACATGTAACTTGGTGACCAGAATTGTACATGATATTCTAATGAGGTCTTACTGGTGCATTGCACTATTTAAACATTATACTGCATATAGTAACATTCTAATGTTCAATAGCTTCTTCAATAGCTGGAAAAGCTTCCCCGCTTTATCTAGAAAATAATAATAATCTGATTAATATTAAAATCTACATTTTTTTTTCTTTTTCATAGATGGATTCTTCAAGCTTAGTGGTTCCAGGCTTATATTAATAATTTGTTTTTGGTACCTATATGTACCTATGTGTAACATTGAGCCAGATGTTTGCCCAGTCTTGAATTTTATCTAAGAGTTTTTATCTTGAAATTTGAGCTCTTCTTGAATTTCTTTTTTAGCTTCTTTAGCATTTGGCGATCTTTCTGTTTTGGAATCAGATGTAACTTTGACTAGTTACTAGTTACTTTACTAGTTACTAACAATACCAGAACCTAAATCCTCAGCCTATATACAGTAATTGGAAGAGCAGTGGTGATGCTCCAGATCCCTCTGACACAAATTTCATCACCTGAATTGGAGCATTTACTTCTTAACCATAAACCTCTGTCAGTTAAGAAATTATTAATCAAGGCTTGCATTATCTTGAATGCCTAGTGCCTAGAATTTAAAAGGCAGTTGTTTATGAGGAATTTTAGCAAAAATCATCTGAAAATCTAAGTACAGCATACGGTGTACTCTGTGTGTATTCATTTCTTTTGTTCACAGTGTCTAGCAAGTCGGTTAAGAGAGATGTGCCTTTTTAAAATTTGTATTGACTATGCACCAGGATTTTATTTCCATATAGATTATGCTCTAGTGTAGTTCTACTCAGCAATTCTTTGATCTTACACACAATAGAAGTAAAACTTATTTTATTACTTGGTCCAGTTTTAATACCCATTTTAACAAATTTCCTGTCAATGGTTTTTACCTCATTGAAGGACAGTTTATGTTTTGCTGAATATGAAAGGGACAGACATAGTTTGGATACCTGTTGGTCAGACTGAAATGGGAAGCAGATGCTGCTACAGCTCCAATGCAGGTTGCGCGGCTACAGAATATGTTGATGTCAGTTGTTTCCTCTGATCTCATATTTTCAGACTGAGAAAAATCTTTACAAGTGAGTCTGCACTCAGTTCACAAAATCATAAAAAAAAACAATTTTTGATTCATTTCATTCACAATGTCCTTTATCTTGTTTGCAGTACTACCTCCTTCTTGCAAAACACAAAGATCTATTTGAATGTTTGTTCCAATAAGCATGTTTTGGCCAAAGGGAATCATCAGCAGATAAATATTGGATTTAATTATCTAATTAGAAATCTTCTGTCTATGCTTGTACTTACATTAAAAGGGCTTCTGTCTGTCACCAAAGAAATTGCTTTTGGAGTGAAGTACTGTATAAAACACACAATCAACTGATGCAATTTTTACAAATTAAAATTAGTTATCAGTAGTCAGCAGTCAGTATTTAGAGCAGTAATGACTATGTCTGACTTACCTATTGAGAGCAGTAGTCCACACAGATACAGCATAATGAGGGAGCAGGGTAGTCGTGACATTCCAGTAGGGATTTATAGCCACTGAGACCTGGCTATGTGCTGCCCAGATAAACAATGAGAAGTAAACCGAGGAACCAAGACAGAGGTGAGACACAGCTACTGAGAACTGGAGATAAACAGATACTGAGTGTTAAATTATACTTACAGATGCTGAGTATTTAATTCTAAGACAATGAAAATTAGAGACACACTGGGACCTAGAGACACAGACACTGAAAATGAATCTAAGAAATAAGAATAAGACACAGAAAGAGACAGAGGCAATGACAGTTGGAGGCACGGTGAGTGAGAGAGACCAAAAGGCTGCAGGGCTATCCAATAGAGACCGAGAAAACAGTGGAGTGAGATGCCATCTGAGATGAACAGATTGAGACTGAGAGCACTTTCGCTCACACAGACTGGTGGTGAGGACCAGGGCAAAGCATGCTGGGAAGGCTGAAGACAGTATCCGCTGACACACGCAGCTGTAGCTATGGAGAGAGTGGCTCAAACTGCAGATCAGCTCAAAACCAAGCAGCTGAATTGGCAAGACTATTTACAGTGCTGCCACACTGAGAAACTACAAAAAATGAACAAAAAAAAACAAACATGAAAAATAATAAACATTCTGAAAATAATTTTTAAAAAGTTTATTAGAATTACTATTATTGTTTAGAAGGACTTCAATCGTGTGGATTTTTGCTTGAGAGTAGATGATATGTATCTTTCTACTTTATTTATGTTTTATTATCATTGAGTTTATATTTGCTTTATGCATGGTACGGGGTGAAACTTCCTGCTGTGGAAGAAAGCGCTGACAACCGCGTTAGTCGCACCGATAGAAGCAGAGTATGTCTTTTTGAAGTGGATTGTGAGAGAGAGGCAGGAAGGGAGAAGGCGAACACAGCAGAGAGGAAGTTGCAGCTCTTATGTCAGGTGTCGCTGGCACACTGAGAGTGAGTAAGGGAGGTGTGACAGCATAAGCAGACCCAAGCTGTGCTGAGGGACTTCCCCTTTAAAATGATTTAGACTTCTACACTTGGCCACGGGGCACACTGCACTGTCACACACTTCTCCTCTAACTGGTGTCTGCTGAGGTGGATGAAGCTGAGGACCTGCAAACATGAACAGCACAGTATGTAGAAAAGACATACAGAGAAGGAGATAGGAGAGAGACAGCAGAGTTTAAGCAGATAGCTTAACCACCTGCACTCCTCATTGATAAACTGACATGTCAGGTTAATGGCTTTGAGGGGCACATAATAAGGAAAATATGGAAAAGGAGCTGCAATTTTCATTAAAATCTGCCAGAGAGATGCTTGTCTCTTTTTCAGTTTTGCAATTGGACACATTGTTGTATAGAAAGTGACAATTATTTCCGATTAGGAATCCTGAAATCAGTCTAAACTGTGATACTACCTGTGGAAAATGACGTCTTTTATTAAGAAATTCCAAGATAAAGATCTGCACCTACTTCTGATTAGATTAGGGTTTATCAAAGGTAACAATTAGAGTACGAATGTTTAATGCAGTTTATGAGATTGGGATTTATTTCAAGTGTGCATATCAGTTTGTAAATACTATTTTTGTGTGGCGCCTTGATGTTCAATTTTTCTTTAAGCAAAAACTTGCCTTTTACATGACTATTTATGATTTCTGAGCTGTCAGTGGTATCCATGATCATCACATCAACTGTCCATTCAAAGCCAACATTGCTGTTTACCTCAGGCAGAGAACAGGTCACTGGAATGAATTTCAGTCAAGCTCTACCCTCTTGTCTGAACTTACTGCCCTATCACAGTGCCCTCCAGAATCATTGGCACCCTTGGTAAAGATGAACAATTGTTTATCAGCTTGATCTTACGCTGAAAATATAAGAGAAATCTAACCTTTCAGTGAGGTAAAATTATTCAAACAAAAAAAAAAACATTATTCTCAAAAACACGTGTCACGATTATTGGCACCCCTGCATTTAGTACTTTGTACACCCTCCCTTTGCCAAGATAACAGCACTGAGCCTTCTCTTATAATGCTGGATGAGGTGGGACAACACATATAAAGGGACCTGAGACCATGAGAAGTTGACCCACAAATAACCTGTAGATGGACACAAATTCACAGGCATAATTACAGATCAATACAGATGACCCTGTGCCTTCCAGTGTACATTTGAAAACGGACAGTTCTCAATCTAAAGGAGACATAAAAATCTAGGACACAAAAGCAACTAATAGACTGTGTAATTACCTGGGGTACTTTTTTGCCTTTAGTCTTGAACAGGAGAGTATGGAGACTTAATTCAAGTATTCAAAATTCTGATGGGTGTGGAAAACTGTACATCTGCTCAACGGACCTCTACTATAGACGATCTCGTGGTGCAAGAGGAGACTGTTCCAATTGCGGGCTCATGTGTGACAGGGAGCCAAGACTCACCTAAATGTAACCCGAAGATCAGGTCATCTGTGACCAGAGAGAAAATCCTGCTCCAGGATGGGGTCATCTGAGGGTGCCCTCTTGCCCCAGGATGGAGCTGTCTGAGGCTGGGGAGCCCTCTTGCCCCAGGATGGAGCTGTCTGAGGCTGGGGAGCCCTCTTGCCCCAGGATGGAGCTGTCTGAGGCTGGGGAGCCCTCTTGCCCCAGGATGGAGCTGTTTGAGGCTGGGGAGCGCTCTTTCTCAAAAAGCAGAAGCCCCTGATGGAGGGGAGACTCTCTGCATCACAGCAGCAGCTGTTGCATCACACTGCCACCTGCTGGATTGTCTAAAGCAGTGACTATCGACCCTGGATGGGGTGTACTGGTTTTCATTGTTTAATAATAAAAATAAAAAAAATAATAATAATACTAATAATAGGTAATCACCATTGCTAATTGGTATTTTAAATTGTTCTGCTTGCCTTTGTTTATGTTTATGCGCTCGGCTCTGAGAAAAAGTGCTAGAAAAAGTGCTATTATGGACATAGATGTCTCCATATAGTCCCTTATATGAAAAGATCTGCTGAGTTGCCCTCTCAGGTCACACAATGCAGGTCTTCTTAGGATCACGAGGGTCAGGAAGCGTCACCTGTAAGGGCATCCCAAACCCTGTCTTCAGCATCCCACTGGATTTAGGTTTTATTGCACTGGAAAATGTGTAAAATTAGATGTTGTAAAATTGGGATTTTGAGATCCTAACACAATAGTAAATTAAAGTAATTTGAAATCTCTACCCAGTTTAAAATTTTAAGTGATGCAGACAGTTATCAAGGTTAAAGGCACGGTTAAATGACTGAAAAGCCAGCTGGGTGTCCATTCCTGCGACTGTAGTGTCTAACTGAACATCTCATTGCCTCTGATGTCTCAGTCTGTTTGTAGACACTACAGTCTGCTTTTCATTTTTTTGTAAATATAATACTTTTGATTGAATGTTAGAACATCAAAATGAACTGAAGAGAGCATTGTTTATTAGCCATATTGAGATCTTTATTAATCACTCTTATTATATTTGTACAATTCTATTGGCCATTTTTTGTTGAACTTCTAAGGAGTACCTTACAAAAGTACATTAATGGATCTCTGAAAAGCAAAATTCATTCCATGACTGAAAGTAGACAAAAACACAATAAGGTGACACAGTCACAAAGTACTGCAGACATGCAGACAGACCTCGTTAGAGTAGTGCAGACAGACAAACCCTGTGAGAGTAGTGCAGACAAGCCACCAGACAGTCCTCCTGAGACTACTGCTGACAGAAAGATAGTCATAGTGACAGCAGTGCAGACAGTGCTAATAAGTGAACAGCAGACAGACAGTCCTTGAGAGAACAGTGCAGACAGACATTCACCGTGAGTAAACTGGAGACAGAAGACAGTACTCGTGAGAGTAGTGCAGACAGACTGACATACAGACAATTCTCATGAGAGTACTACTGACAGGCAGTCCTCGTGAGAGTGCAGACAGGCAGTCCTTGTGAGAGTGCAGACAGGCAGTCCTTGAGAAAGTAGTGCAGGCAGTTAGTGATTGTACAGCAGACAGACAGTCCCCGTGAGTATACTGGAGGCAGAAGACAGTCCTCGTGAGAGTGCAGACAGTCCTAATAATAATAATAATAATAATAATAATAATAGCTTACACTTATATAGCGCTTTTCTGGACATTCCACTCAAAACGCTTTACAGGTAATGGGGTCTCCCCTCCACCCCCTTCAGACAGTCCTTGAGAAAGTAGTGCAGACAGTTAGTGATTGTACAGCAGACAGACAGTATACTGGAGGCAGAAGACAGTCCTTGTGAGAGTGCAGACAGACAGACACACAGTTAGTTCTAATGAAAAGCAGTGTTCATACAGCGCCAGGGTCCCTCCAGCCCCCGGTGGCCTTCTCCAGGTGCACTGCAGTGGCGATGGTCAAGCGGTCACAGTGCTTGTTGGCAATGACCTGCAGGCCAAGTGGCAGCCCTTCGCGGCTCAGGCCCACTGGGCACTGTGTCACTGGGAGCCCCAGGATGTTGAAGATCCCTGCAGGACAAACACATGCTCAAATGAAAATTCAACTGCAGTCACAATTCAATCTATGCACACAGATCCAGGTCATCACAGTGATTGTTTAATTCAGCCAAAGGATTTGTCAAACTTCCCAGCCTTAGACACGGGGTCTGTATCCATGATCAGTGACAGAAGCACTGCAAAATGAAATAATTACTCTCAAAGTTGAAATAATCCTGTGTCAGTGCTGGTGAGTGTTCATGCTGCAGCATTCCCTATATTAAACCCCATTCATCCTTTTCATTTCAAAGCTCTGATCTTATTAATAAACACTGACAGACCAGCTTCTTCACTGCATTGCTGCACTGTGGCGACAATTGCAATGCATGTTTGACAGAAAATCATCACTGCCAACAGCAAAGGGCCGCTTCAACGGATGTGCAGGGAAGCGGCTCACTCTTTCACGGAGTCTCCGGGTGGGCAGTAAGGGGTACCTTCAATTTACTTCAAGTAGGTAGCCACGTCATCATGCGGAGGCTGCAAAGGAACAACTAATAGGTTTATTCCCTGCTGAAAAGGCAAGAAAGGAAACACAACGTTTCGGCTGTGCAGCCTTCTTCACACACCCAAAGAAGGCTCCACAGCCGAAACGTTGCGTTTCATTTCTTCTCTTTAAAGCATGGAATAACCTTTACTTTTTCCTTTGGTACCTTCAATTTATATGTTTGCACACAGAAATCATCCTCTTTATGATTTCTTATCTATTGCACATACCCAGTCATTGTTTACACGTCTGTATTGTTTACATTCAAACTGTCTACATGTTTACTTGCACATTGTCTATTGTTTGTTTGTACATTGTCTTGATGCACTGTTTGCACTTTTTTGTTTTTTACACTTGTTTTACAATTGAGAGACTTTCTGTAAGTAAGAATTCCGGTACCAGTACCGGTTACATATGGCAATAAAGTTCAAGTTCAAAGTTCAAGTTTAAGTTCAGAAGCGGCCCCTCTCCACATAACCTGCCCAGTCCCTGCACCCCTGGTCTGGTGTGCGTCTGCTTCAGTTTTAATGCTTTAGGTCCTGTCGTTTAGCGGTGAACAAGGCTCCTTTCACTGTTCAGTTCACTAAAGGTACGTGCTGCCGTTACTCTGCTAAAAAGGACCCTGAGCGTTCAGTACATTACCTTCCCATTTTTATAATCTTCATCTGCTGTTCAGCAGTGGATCGCAATTCCTTTCATCATTAATTACCTGCAACCTTTTAATTTGTATGAAACAACTCGGACAGATTCTTGCTCAGGACAAAGTTCTGAAAATAAGGAGGCTTCACTTAAAACTCTTTCTGGCCAGATCTAGGAGGGGCCCAACTCCTTCATTTCATTTGATCTCTCTGCAGCCCTTGGTTTGTAGATCACAGTGTTAGCTTGGGTTTTGGTCTGTCAGACATTGTCAGACATTGGTCTGTCAAGGACTGTCCTTATTCTTGAAGCCTTATCCTAAGTGAGGACATTTTACACTCACGTGACCACTAAAAGCTGCAGTGTACCTTGGTGTACCTTGGGGCTCAGCCTTCAGATATTATTTAAGCCCCACTTCTACCTCTGAGGGATATTACCTTTCAACACAATTGTTTTTTTACACTGACTTTGTCCAGATGAATTTATCTTTTGGGTTTTTCTGCCTAGGCAAACAGCTCGTCTTGCACAGATGGAAACACAAATCTTTTAAAAATTCGTTTGACTGTTATTCAGATGAAAGAGATGATGGCATTCAGTACCCAGCATCTTCCCACACAGACACATCGGGAGCCAATTTCAGTTCATTACGGGGGTTTTTTAAGCTTGTTATCAGAAACATGGGAGTTTTCTTTGATCCTAACCTGAAACTTGAGCATCATATCCGAGCAGTCTGCGGAGCATCTCAGACACACAGTTAAACCTAGAGATATGCTTGATCTTGAATGAGCCTCAACTCCACATCATGCTTTCGGTGTATCTCTGCTTGTCAGTCTGTCTTGGTCTTCAAATCTAAAACTCCAATTGACTAAAAACTCATGTATATTCCTGGGTATTAGGCTAGAAAGAGTAACATCGATGTACATTTGTTCATTCTCGGTTCGTAGTTAAAGATTCACATTAACTTCATACACTTAGGCTCCTACAGACCATTCCCAGTGCGACTGGATAGCAGCTTTAGTTGTCAGGCTCCCTCCTGGTACAGCTCCCCCTGGTACAGGTGTAATAAGTCTAATTTGAAAGCCATTTCATGTAAGAGTACAATGTTAAGAGCCTGAGCATGATCGAGTACAGCTGCAGTCATCTTGACTGCAGGTAATAAGACAAAGTTATGGCAAGCAGTTACCTGTGTACGCAAAGTTGAAGGGAGTGAAGAGAGGGTGGTGGTGTTTTGGGGCGATATGGGGGTATGTGGGGTACAGTAGCACTCCATCTGACCCCAGCATCTTCTCCAGCTGTGTCTCTAGCTCCTTTTTCTTCTGTAGCACAAACTGGCTGGGCTGTGCACTCTGAAACCTCTCCAATATCGCCAGTCCTACAGACAGACAGTCAGGGAGAGTCCAGAATGGTTATTGATCCATCAGCATTATTATATTCCTCAGAGTAGCTGCTGTGAGTTCATCACGGCCTTCCTGTCATTTTCTAACAGAGTGCCTTACAGCTCTGGTCCTAAACAGCCACAGATCCTGCATTTCAGCAGAACAATGAAGTACAAATAATAAATAATAATAATAATAATTGCTTACACTTATATAGCTCTTTTCTGGACACTCCACTCAAAGCGCTTTACAGGTAATGGGGACTCCCCTCCACCAATGTGCAGCCCTACCTGGATGATGTGACAGCAGCCATAGTGCGCCAGAACTCTCACCACACATCAGCTATCAGTGGGGAGGAGAGCAGAGTAATGAAGCCCATTTATAGATGGGGATTATTAGGAGGCCATGATTGGTAAAAGCCAGGGGGAAATTTGGCCAGGACACCAGGGTTACACCCCTACTCTTTTTGAGAAATAGCCTGGGATTTCTAATGACCACAGAGAGTCAGGAGAGTCAGGATTCATCTTTGCTGATGATGTGGCACTGATGGCAGACTCAGAAGAAGAACTACAGGAGAAAGTGTTCAAATGGCAGAGGAGTCTGGAAAAGGGTGGACTGAAAATGAATGCAGAAAAATCTGAAATAATGGTAATGGAGAGAAGAGGAGATACTATGACCAATGTTGAGGAGACAAATGGAGGAAAACTGAAACAAGTTGATGACTTTAAATACCTTGGATCAAAACTGGTAAAGGGAGGAGAAACACTGGAGGCAGTAAAACAAAGAGTGAAAGCTGGATGGAACAAGTGGAGAGAAATAACTGGAATAATCTGTGACAGGAAAATTCCCAGAAAGTTAAAGTGCAAAATGTACAAGACTGTGATTAGACCTGTACTACTATATGGAGCTGAATGCTTGGCATTTGGAAAGAGGGAAGAGAACTTGATGAGAAGAACTGAAATGAGGATGTTGAGATGGATTCTGCAGATTTCAATGAAGGATAAGATCAGAAATGAAGAAATCCGTAGACGATGTAGGGTGGTGGATGTGGTTGAGAAGATGTGAGAGGCGAGGTTACGGTGGTATGGACATATCATGAGGAGGGACGTTGAGGACGTAACAAAGAGGGTAATAGAATTTGAGGTGGAAGGTAACAGAGGAAGAGGCAGGCCTAGAAAGAAATGGATAGATTGTGTGAGAAAAGATATGGAGGTATGTGAAGTGAGTGAGGAAGATGTGCTCGACAGAGACAAATGGAGAAGAGCAACCTAAGCAGCTGACCCCAGGACAGTCTGGGACTAAGGCTGTGAAAAAGAAGAAGAAGAAGACAGAGAGTCAGGACTTTAGTTTTACGTCTCATCCGAAGGACGACGCATTTTTATAGTATAGTGTCTCTGTCACTATACTGGGGTATTAGGCCCCACACAGACTGCAGGGTGAGCGCCCCCTGTTGGCCCCACTAACACCTCTTCTAGTAGCAACCTTAGTTTTTCCCACTAGGCCTCTTATCCAGGTACTGACCAGGCTCACACCTGGGTTGCCAGTTGGGTTGCCAGTTGAGTTGCAGGGTGATATGGCTGCTGTTAATATTACCCTGCCTTTTGAGTTTCGACCATGTTCGACAGTCAATTAACTGGTCTGATTATTTGGCTAAGTTAGCATGTTTACCCAATCCAATAATTTTATTAAGCAATGTTTTAAAGTATTTCACAGTGTGACTTGTGAGTTGGCTCAAGAGCCCCATAAGTCCCTGTGTGTAGAAGCATCTATTGTATCCTGCCATGAATACTAATTTCCATTTTTCCAGCAGTCTTGTTCCATTTTCAATCTTGAAAACAGGGTTTTGAAAGGGATACTGATACAAATAAGATCGTGACAGAAAGAGAAGAAACTCTGACACATCATAGGCAGGATGTTACTATAAACATTAGCTGCAGCTTTTACCAAGAAATAAGTTTGCATGATAAATGAAGAGCAGGCTGGGGTGGGAGCGTTAATTTCAGTCTGAAGAAGGTTGATAATGTCATTTTTGTATTTCAGTTTAGGAGGAAAGATAGCTTTTTTGGCTGTATATACAGTCATTTTCAATCTTACCAGTAAACTGCAGTAAATGCGATGCTTAGTGCGAGAAACAACGCCCAGCAGTAGTACTTTCCCTTGGGTGTTATTCTGCATGCATCACTAAAATCAGGAAATGAACATACAAACTGTGACCCTCAGCACATAGCTGGCAGTGGGTGACTGCTTATACATAGGTGCTGATTCAGCAATATCAGGATTCCAGCTGAGAAGGGAAGAGAGATGTCAGCACAAAAAGGCTGTTACTTAAATCACGAAAGATCTGAAGGGTGATGCACGAGAGCACAAAGACCGAGATAATGTCTGGGAAAAATGATCTTTCAGAACTGAAACCGACTGAGAAAGAAGAGGACCCATGATCTTCCAAGAGTAAAAAGGATCCTCACAGCTGTAAAAATCTGGACAAATTGCTCAGCTGTTTCAAGATGGATGAAAAGTCAGAGAACACATGTATCAATGCCTATTGCACCCTTGCTGGCCAATTAATTTACCAACATACCAAAGAAGTACTAAATCATGGTCTAATACATTTCATTAAAAACACAAAATGCAATGATTGCAAATATGGAGAAAATTACAGCCTGAATAATTCAGATATGTTTTCAGTAAGAAACATGATACAAAATCAAAATGGAAGCATTACAAAGCTAGTCTTTAGTATCACCTCCCACAGCATTTATCCCACACACATGATCAGCCTGTGGACAGAAAACTGTGGGCTGTTCAGACAATTCCTGAGCTGCTACAACCAGCCAGTTACCATAGTCTTTTTCCTTTCAGAAAGATTTAGAAATGCCATAAGACCCATCTTGCTTGTTTGGTAGTTTATTAACTTCCTTCCTTTCAACTTCCTTTGTTCTAGGCTGAAGAGATTTAACTCATTATCCTGCCTGTATATGACAATTAATTCGTGTTCCCTGTCATTTATATCTCATTTATGGTGAGCAAAGCCTATAAAAGTAAGATCTTACTAATGTAATGCAAAGCTTAAAAAGAAACAGACATACAGTAGAAGAAACTAAATAGACCCAGATCCCTTTAATTGGCAGTTTCCTGTGGCTCAATCATCTGTGTGATAAGTGATGTTTGTCTGCTTCCTGTATAGATCATCCCGCACTTGACTGTTCTACATGTCAGTTGCCAAGTGCCTGCACACCTCTAAGGCGTTTAATGGAGGATCTGGATCTTTATGAGCCCTCCTGTGTCTCAGTCAAGAGAAGGAACTAGAAGTGAAACAGTGGAAGACAAGACACTAGCAGAGGCCTTGAAGGAGACTCCATTAATACCACTTCTGTTGTACAGGGAAGACTAATATTCTCCCCTGTATGCAACCAAGCACTAAAGAAATGAACCGAGTCACAATAAAATACCATCTGTAAGTTCATATGAATGAGTTGAGGTTAACGCCATGCTGAAAAGTAGAAGGAGAAATCACTTCTCTATAGGGAAAAGGTTATTTCATTATACTTTTCAGAGTGGAATTAACCTCTACTTGTTAATTTACACCTTAAACCCTGACATAACTCCCCAAAGAAAAGCTTAGGAAGTCTAATATCACAGGAATAAACCTGTGTGGTTCCTCTGAGTTCAGGAATCCAGTGAAGGCTAATGTCCAAGAACCAGTGAAAAGGATTATATCCGATCGCCCTCAGTGTTATTAACAGTATTGAAGCAATATTATTAGTATTGATTGCCACACTTCAGCAGATTAGTAATGTCAAAGACATTCAATAAAGATAATTATCAGCATAAAACCGGATACTTGACAGAATTAGAATCTCTGTTATTGCAGAATATTCTCTTTATTATTGCCATTGGCTGGCACTGGTAGTAAAAGTGTGATTACCGATGGCTGCGAGGGTGTGTGACGACTGGCGCACGGTCCACTTGACCAGCTCCCAGAATGGCCATACTGGCTTCCCATGATCCCCCAGCAGCTCTGTGAAAGACTTCGGGCACTGAGGGCAGAGGGACCCAAGGTCACAGCACAGGTAACACAGCCCTGAACACGCCCACCCACACTGACCTCCCGCCCCACACACACCCCTCGACACACCCACACTGACCCTGCCCCCCACACACAGCCCTCGACACATCCACACACACCCCTCGACACACCCACACTGACCCCGCCACACACTCACCCACACTGAAGCCCCCCACATACAAACGCCCCTCCACACACACACTGCCCACAATGACCCC